TTTTTTTTTTCTTTTTACTTTTTTTTTCTTTCTTTTTATGGGGACAAAGAAACGGGACGGAGATGGAAATCAGAGAGAGAGAAAGAGTTAGCGATTGAAAGAAGTAAGAAACTGGGCATATCTTTACAATGGTATTTTTTCCAAAGCATTTGTACCACTCGAGCAGTTCAAAGCGTTTTTTCTTCTTTATATCGTTTATAAGCTATTTTTCGTAATCATCAGTATCCTGGTTGTTCATCCAGACCGCAATTTTTGTACTTAATAGGACTAAAATTACGAAGCTATATGAGCAATGTAAATAAGCGTATAAATATGTGTACAATTATTGTGTGATAGAAAAATAATTTCAGACGATAAAAGATTTAAAAAAGGTCAGCAACAACAACAAAAAAAAAACATAAAAATGAGAAAAAAAATTGCACTTGAGACAGTAAAGATTTAATAGGCAATAAATTTTATGTAATTATAGTAGCAAAAACTAAGAAAATTCAATAATTCTCGCAATTAATTATCAGAAAAACTTTAAAAAACCAATGCTTCTGACAAAAGAGAGAACGAAAAAAAAGAGGTGAAAAGTCTGAAGACGTTGTAGGTTTGGGGCACATACATATAACTCATTTGTCTTCTATACTTTTGAGGATTTAACGAAACATACACAGAGAGTGCATAACAATTTTGAAGCAATAAAAAAAAAAAATTTTTTTAATTAAAAAAATGACTTTTTTGCAAAAAATTATTAATGATAAAAGAAATTTCTTGAATTTTTACTAATGTCGCATCACCTTTAGTACATACATAGTCTATGTTTGTAAGTATCCAAATATTTACGTTCATACACCTAAATGTTTATATATATATATATATATATATTAAAACTATTTTTCTATAAGAGATAACTTCGTGATACAGGTGTTAAAAATGAATTAAAACGAAATGAATCGTTAAGAAAGTTTGGAAAACTGTAATTTCACTAAGCCAAAGATCAGCATTCTCATTATTAGTGTTTATTAATATAAACTATAATGTACTTGTAAATATATTGAAACTTAAAAGATAAACAATTTAACACTAAGCATCAGTTAATAACTTTTAACAAAAACTAAACATAGCAAAATTAATAAAGAAACGAAGCTTTTACTACAATAAAAGTGATCTGTGCTTATAATACCGTTGCTTTAGTGAAATCTTAATAAAATTGAATTTTCTCTTTCTGAGCAGCAGCAACAGCAGCTATTTCTTCTAATATTCAGTCTTCCCCTATCTTCTTAAAGTTTAAAAAAAACTTTGAAAATTAATTCAACAATAATTTTCTTGGCTTTTAAATTATATTTGTCGTTTTTTTTTTGTGATGTGATAAACAAACGATTAACAAATAAAACATCAGTGTCTTTTGTTATTTTCAGTTTTTAGGTGAAGCATTAGCTGTTACTTTAGGTAAGGATAAAGAGCTGAAATTTTGAAAAAAAAAATTTCAAAAAGTTTTTTAAGCAGAAAAAAAAAGTTTGAAGATTTAATATAGAAGAATACATATTTATGATAGCATTCCAGAGCTCTACACTATTTGTCATTTAATCAACGACAAAAAAACTTAAATGATAGCAGAATTTTAAATTTAAATTTGCTTTCAGGAATCTTTAACAGCTATATCTTCTGCTAAACTAATGAAGTAGTTGCAAGAATTTACTGATACATTTGGCCAGCTATCAATGGCATCAGATAAAGATCAAAGAAAAACAGCTAAAAGTATAAAACCAAAGAAGAGATACTTTATCATCATGAAAACGATTTCAAGAAAGAAAGAAATAACTTAGAACCGTTTTCACTATGTAAACCTTTATATATATACACATATATATGTATATAAATTTAGTTGAAATTTTGTTTTTGCTCGATAGAACGCAGTTATACTGAAAAATGACTCAAAGTTCATTTGCACGTTATATCGAGACCGAATATTGTTGCATAAAATGAATTACTGCTGAATATTTAAGATTTAAATTTATCGCTTTTAGATATTTTTTTTAAAAGATATCATCACTTGTTTTCATTTGTTTTATTAGCCGTTACTGGTTTGCTGAAAAACATCATAGCTTTAAACCAAAATGGTAGATGCGTTGTTTTTGAAGTTTAAATTGAAAGATCAATCACAGATTCGCAAATTTACTCACAGATGCTCGTTGATAATAATCAAAAAAATTTGCTCTATATATCTATAGCAGTTTATTGACAGCCTAATTCTACATATTTAACCAATTGCAAATTTTTTAATCATTATCGTCATCTTCAACAGCAGAAGCACTGTTGCCAGCGCCACTAATACGAACGAAAGGAACGTCACCAATACTGCTCGTTGCAGTCGACAGCTTTTCCCTAAAAATGACAGTGATTATCATCAAGCTAAATAAAGAAATGTTGTTTATGCCAAGAGGAATCTTCTTTCAATGATTACATGTCAGTTTAATCACTGAATGGAAGCCAAAATAGAAGGCATAATAAAGAAAGTTTAAGGAATATTGTCATTGTCACTATTTTCAAACGTTTTATTCGTCAATATCATCTGTCTTCTGAGTCAACCAGCAATCTATTTCCTTTTTCAGAGATGCGTAATTCTTTGACTGCCCATTTCCTTTCTTCTTCTTCTTCCTCTCTTTCTTCTCCTTGTCCATATCCTTTATTTTATCGGTTACCTGCGGATAACCTTACATTTCTAGAAAAAAAAGAAGGCAAACTTTTATCAGTAAGTTTTGACAAAATTTCATATCGTCTTTCTTTTTTTTTTTTTTTTTTTATAAATTGAACATACCCAAAATTGCACATACAAACACACACACAAACAAACAAACACAAATAAATACGCAAACACACATAGGAACACATATTTTTGCATAAATACTCTAAAAAGGTGAGTGATCGGAATGGAAGTGAAGGGGAGGGGGGAGGTGAAGGGTTAGCTAAGTGGGGTGAACGGAGAGGGGCTGTTACGTGATAGACTAAACGATTTTTGGTCCAGAAATGAAATTATCCATTCTTTTAACATTGTAGCAGTTTCTCACTTCATGCAAATAGAAGTCGAGAGCACTCCTTTATTCAGCTTTTTTTTTTTTTTCACTTCTATTTTTTTCTTTACTTATGATCTAGAGAATTTTTTATTTTTAAGAAATATCACATTTATTATTTCTGCTTTCGTTGATAATGTTAATTAATTGAGTCTACAATAGTTTGACGTATGAAAAAACCTTTCTTTATTCTTATATTTAAAATGTTTCTTTCACATTGGTGGTAAAAAAAAAGAAACAGAACAGTGAAGAAGAAAAATGATTGCAAATCACTGAATGCAGTAAGAAAATTTATTTATTGACTAATTGCTGATAAAGTTTATGCTTAAACTTTTCTTGGAACTGATTTGCCTGAGATAGGTGGCATTTAGAAACTGCTCTGTACCGGCAGCTAACACATATGCTTAACAATAAGAATAAGAAAAGATAGGAGAGCAAAAAAGGTTTAGGAAAAGAGATGAAAAAAATGGAAAAGTGAAATTAGATTGTCGATA